GCTTGGAAGATTTTTTTCTGTCCAATTCTGAATCTATCTTTATGGGCATGATCATCATGCAGCACAGAGCACGGGTTGTGTCCGATCTTTCCCGGATAGATTGGATGCTCAGCATTTTCGAAATTCTTCCAAGGAAAATATTCTGCCATACTCTTTGTCTGTTTCTCATTGTTTGAAAATTTTATGGTCAAGCATTGTGTGTGTGCATTTATGCCTATTCCAGTAAAAATACCCCCACCTCCTAAGACTTCCCTCCCCGAGGAAATAAATTGTCTTAATAAACAATGTTGTTAGCATGACATTTTAATTCTTTATGTGACCCCTCAATCTTCTCTATAGCAAACATTATCAACAACTGTGATAACTTTCAGGGGTCTAGTTTTCAAATGTTTAATTTTCATGGGTTCTTCCAGTTGTCTAAATAGGATATATGTAAAAATAAATCAATCGCTGTTTTATTTATTTTACATGATGATGAATGTGTGTCTGTGTGTATCTGTGTGTGTATTTTATTTCCAGAGCTGTGATCCTGTTCTCTACCCCATCCCATTGCACCTACTATGGCCTCTGAACATGACATTGGTTGACTTTGCTGTATATTCTCTGGAGATTTTTTTGTCTCATTTACATTTTTTTTTTTTTTTAGCACTGAAAAGTGTGTGCTCTTTTTGTGATGATATCAACAAGGCCAACTCCTGTACTGGAGAAACTATTGTTTTCAATGTTCTGGTGCTATGATTTTCCACATTTAATATCACTCCCTTCTTTGATCATTGATTTCTTCCTGCTGTCTCTTTGTGGAGAAATAAGTTTGCAAGTCTATCTTCCATTTCTGAAATATTCAGTGTATTATTTTATTTTAGTGTATTATCACTTGCATATTTCATACAGAACAACTTCAGACTGTGTGAGATCATCTAAGACAAAGTTCTAAATAGGTAAGATCATCTTGTGCGGTCCAATTAGTTTTTCATTGTCTCATGGCCAAAGCATGGTAAACTCCTCAAGGCCATCTCAGGAGTTCCATTCACTGGACTGGGTGAGAAGTCAGGATTGAGAGAGGGGAGGAAGGCAAGGGAAGGAGGAGTGGATGGCTCTGTGCTGGTCGTAACCAACATTGGAAGGCAGCCCACTGTGGTCATTATGGCAGTACAAGCATTGCTGTGTCAGGTGTGAATGAAAAAAGGAATAAGCATTGGGATCACAACACTCACTGTCACTATAGAAAAATGTTCGTCTTACACGTGCAAAATGGGATATTGTAATATTGAATTTGTATTAGCACCTAGCATCCTAAGTAAAAAGTGTAGGTATTTGTAAATATGAAATCTTTACTGATTGATGGACATACATACTCCAGAATGAGGCAAGTGCAGGGAGCATAGATTGCCACCTTGGAGGAGTTTGTTCAGTGAGGTCATGGAACTGAATCCATTGATTGGTAATGAAAAAAAAAGTGCTTAGAATAGGAAACATGACATAATTAAATGAGGGATGGAACAGAAGATTTTGACCAGAAGGGATAACAAGTCATTAGAATATGCACTATTGCAGAGAGGAATAGAAACATCTCCGTAATGATTACAAGCATAGACTTGGGTGTCCAATTCTCTTAGCTCCAATCCTAACTCCCAGTGTGATCTAGAGTATATTCCTCAACCCCAAGTCATCTGTTTCATCATCTATAAAATGGAGATGATGTAAAAACCTATATTGTAAAGACTATAACGCAGACTAAATGAATGACCATCAGGGAATGAGAAAATACCCACCATGTAAATGCTGCTGTTGCTTGTAGGGAAATGGGAATTCTCCCAGCTTTGTCTTGCTCCTAGGACTCCCAGCTTACCTCTCCAGTAAACTGAGCTCATTAACTCTTGCTACTTGCCTCCCAGGGACAGGGGATTTCAGCCCTGCAGCTTTCCAATTGATTCCTTGTTTCACTGCCCCAGTTAGCTGAGACTGCACTTGGCTGGGAGAAATGTGGCATTCATTTAGACAGGAGTCCTGTCTACTGCCCTTCTCTCCCCTTTTGTTCCTGGTAGGTGCTCAGTGACAAGTGACTGGGCTACAGGGAAAGAAAAGAATGCTCCAAAGATGACCTGTTGCTCTCCTCTCTTCCTGACCCCTTGCCCTTGGCTGTGCGCTGCTTCCCATTCCGAGTTCCACTCTGAGTCATGTCTCTTCCTTTCTCTCATCATTGTCCTTCCCTAACTTTTCCTATAATGGCAAAATGACTTACCCAGCTGTACGGCCAAGCTGAATGACCTCACACATCCAAGTGCGAGCAGATAGGAGTCCCTGTCCTATTTTTGGATATTATTGAAGTGGTATCTTCTGATGTCTTTGACTGCTGTATGGTCTTCTTTCTTTGCCAAAGACACAGCACATCAGTCAACAGCAAAGAGGGCAAGATGAGGAGACACAGATGGTCACTATGTGTAGTTTAGTTTTTAGTTTTGGTTTTGCTTTCCTGCGCAATCTTTAGGGAACGCCATTCCAACAGAGCTCTCATGCCCATTCTCCCACCCCCTGATCTCCGGGATTTTTTCATTTAGTTACAAAAAAGTACGTTCCTTTTTGGAAAAAACAGCACAGTCTGTAGCTGATTTCAACTGCTTTCATCCCTGCTCAGTGTTAACTACACCTACACCAGGAATTTGGGTCAGGATTCTCCAAAAACAAATTGTGAGGGATGGAGATCATGATTTTAAGCCTCCTTCCTTTCTTTTTCTGTCCTTTTTTCTCCTTGGTGACATATCTGTTAATCCCTGGCATCATATACGTGACACGATGCTCTTATAAGATGCCCAGGGTTCTCATGTTTGGGTCCCTTATGTAAGAAGTTATATTCCTTTCTCACATTATTAATTCACATGGAAGTATTGCATGGCTGCTAATAGATTAAGATGTTACCCATTCAACAGCAAGTTCCATTAAAATTAAAAAAATAATAATCAAGGTTTATGGTTCCAAAGGCAGCACTTCAGACACTGTCCATAGAGAGAAGTTGAAGATGAGTACATAAATAATTTAGGATACATTAATGGGCAGCTTCTACTCATTCTGCTCGTTAGGGTGAACAAAGAGATGAGAATAGACTGATTCGATTGTGAAAGGTCAACCTATATTGTATTTAGAAAATGTCACCTGGATATGTAGTAAACCTGAAGCCTGTGTCCCATCCTCCACCTACTCGTTTCTTGTCTCCCCTGCACAGGGAAATACAAATTTTCTTAGTCATTGATTTATACACTCATTTTCTCATTTGGGAAATACTAATTTTCTAAAGGCAGGTGGAGAATACTAAATCTTGCTAATAAATTATCATTAGCTTTGGCTAAATTTTCATGAAGTCTACCTACACCTATTTTGTTTCAGTTTCTTAATGTGTAGCTTAAAAAGTTCCATAGGAGCTCCTGTTATGCTGTCAGGCTCAAGTACTTGGATCCATGAGATTCACATTGAGGAGTCTGATGCAGCTCCAGGCTCCTGGCTTCATCCTGGCCCAGACCTAGGTGATTTGGACATTTTGAAAGTGAATCAGTGGAAAGGAACTTCTCCTCACTACTTTCCCTGCCTTTCAAATTAATAAAATGAATATAAAATTTAAAGAGGAAAACTGAGCTCCAAGGATTGAATCATTTGTAGGAGGTAACATACTTCAGTAATTATAGTGTTGAGTCTGGAATCCACTTGTCTGACTTCTAGTGTGAGGCTCTTTTCATTATAATACAAGCAAGATATTGAAACAAATTAACAGGACCTGAATTACTATCAAGAAGAGGGACTTGGAGTTAACTTGTAGTGTAGTGGGTTGGGGCACCATCTTTTTCTAAAGATTTATTTATTTTATCCTTTTTTGGAAGGCAGACTTAAAGGGAGAAGGAGAGACAAGAGAGTCCTTGCATTCACTGGTTCACTCCCCAAATGGCTGCACTGGCTGGAGCTGAGCCAATCTGAAACTAGGAGCCAAGAGCTTTTTCCAGGTACCCCATGTAGTTCTTGGGCCACCTCCTCTGCTTTTCCAGGTTACAGGCAGAGAGCTGGATGAGAAGTGGAGCAGCTGGGGCACAATAGGTTGTGCCACCATCTTTTGAGCTTTTCCAAATCACAAGTTGGATGGCAGCCAGATAGGAAGTGGAACAGCTGTGACACAAATAGGCTGGGCCACCATCTTCTTGAGTTGGCATCCCATATTGGCACTGGCTCAGTCTCAGCTGATCCACTTCCAATCCAGCTTCCTGTTAATGCCTCTGGGAAAGCTGTGAAGGATCATTCAATTGCTTGGGCCCCATCATTCCGGATGAAATTCTGGGATCCTGGCTTCGGCCTGGTGCAGCCAAGCTATGTGGCTATTTGGGGAGTGAAGAGCAGATGGAAGACCTCTTTCTCTCTTTGTATCTCCCTCTCTCTTTGTAATTCTAGCTTTCAAATAAAATAAAGATTCATTCATCTTAGAAAAAAAAGAAGTGGCACTTTTAAAGTTCCTTAAAAAGCATTTTAAAAAGCCACACACTTAGTTTATTATTAGATATTGGTCGTATTTTCCAGATTAAGTGAACACTTGAAAACCCACGCCAACATCAGCCTTATGCCTTACATATTCACTTTCCAAAAATAATTTTGGGCATCAGGTATCTAAGTACATATGGCTGATATTATTCCTTTTGCATCAAGAAATAGGAGCAGAAATATCAGTTTATTTAGTATTAGGAAGAGGAGGTTTTATAAGAAAGAAGTATGGTAGATATAAGTAAAACTATTTCATGCTATTTACCAAATGATAGAAAAAGTCACATGGAACCTCTTTAGGGTTTAGGAAAACAATGGTTTAAATATTAGTTCTTACAATTTTATGCAAACACATTCATGAAGAAGCAATAAATCATGTATTTATTACTTATTTTGAGTTTTAAGAAGTTAAAAGTTAGTTTCAAAAGCTTATTATTGATCAGTTCCATATTTAATATAGTAAAGGCAATGACAACATTTGTGCATTTTCTAAAAGTTTATTGTGGATAATCTTCCACTTCCTCCTGCCTCAGATAAAAGCCAATATGAATACATAGAAAACTTGGATTTATTTGATACAAAGTTTGAATATTTGAAATGAAATGGTTATGGAAAATCTCAGTGACAGCTCATTTTGAAACTAATCATTGGAAGTTGTGTTTTTAGAAGTGGAAAGACTTTGGTACATGGCTGTGTATGTATACTTTAGCTTTAAAAATTGCCAGGAATGATTTGAAAAGATGGAAGCCCATGTTTATTAAAATAGATGATTTATTCATCAAATACTTGTGGCTTAGTTACCTATCCAAAGATTTTTAACAAGCATTTAAATACAAAGTGTAACTATAAAGCCATGAGACTGATTGTCCTAACTAGCATAATGAAATCTGTACAGTCAAGCGAGGGGTAATCGTCATGAAGGTTTTCTGTAGAGAATGCTACAATGGCAAAAGGCAGTTCTGAAGTGTCTCTTCTTAATTACCCTCAAAAGAATATGAACTTCCTAACTGAAGCATTCACTCGATTTGGTTACAAATAGTATTCCAGTTCAATCTTTCTTTATGTTCACTGGATCTGGTAATTCTGAAAAATCTCATTACTCTTCAATGAATGAAGATTTGTCACTTAAGTGAGGATATTCAGGTTCTGGTGGTAATTTTGAAATGTAAGCATCGACACATTGAAATATACACACTGATGTGTAAATTATAACTACTCACGTAAGAGACATATGTAGTGCATCTATATTATTTTGGAATAATGAGTTTTAACCCAACAGCATCTCATAAGAGAAATAGCACACTACAGTACAAAAATACAAGCAAACTTGATCCTGCATTATTAAACCTGTAACAGGGAACATCTTCATTACTCATGGTTGCAAATTATTAATTTATGTACATAGCTCAGTAGTATGAACCCAACAAACTGGCAAATAGCCTACTATGTGAATTACTATAGTTAACATTATACGTAGTCAGAAATAGTCTCTATTGTTAAATATTATTATATAGCACCAATATCAATTAAAAGGAAAGTTTAACATTAACAGGAATGAATTACAAAGTATTAATTTCTAACTAGAAAAGAAAAGAAAAAAAGCATTGCCACAAATAAATTCCAATTATACAGGAATTATTTTAAGATCACTGCCACATAAAATTAATCATAAAACATGTTAAGGATTTTGTTATGAAAATTTAAGAAAAAAGTCTTGTAATGATTTTCTTAACGCTTCTATAATTACTGTGGAGTCTTACCAATGAAATTACATTGTGGGGAATACAGGTTTCATTCTATATATTAGTTCAACAAGATAACAAATATAACTTTCTTTAGAGCAATCTGATTAAAGCAACAATTTACATTCAGTACAAAATATACAATCAAATGAAACATCTTGTTAAATAAGCCTATAGGTTAACAGTTAACAGTAGCTTAGAGGAATAAATTTTTCATGAGCTATTTTCATATTTTTTAATATCTGATATTTTATGATCATTGCTATGTGTTTTTAAAGTGTGTTTTTGCTGTTGCAATTTAGAGGATCTGAATATCTTATCTCTATCCTTATTACTATTGTTATAAAAGTAATTTAAGAAGAATTATTCCCAAAATTAAGAAAAGAAATCCAGTATTTTTGTCAAGAGCTGTGAGCAAAAGTATTGTAGTGTTTTGAGAGAAACGTCTCTTAATCTCTATAAATTCATCACTATAAAATGTAGCCTTCTGCACTAAAACGAAAACTGCCTGTCAAAATTAATGTATTGCCAATCTCCTGTTTAATTCTGGGTATGAAGTTAGACATGACATCCTTGGCTGTTAATTAGAATAGCATGACTTGAAAAGATCTGCCAATAAGCATTTGTCAATGTGGGTGCCCATCTCAGTAGTTTTTTTAATTGGAATGGTTGGGGAATGGACAGAACAGTAGCGCTTTTATGACAATGTCAGAAGGCTCACAGGAGCCAGCTCTCCAGCCCCAAGTTCCTAGTGTTCAGTCATGACTCAGCTGTAGGCTGACAGAGGAGAAGCATCGTCCCATGCTTGTACACAACGGAGCGATGACCATATCTGTCACACTCTTCCATATCGTCTGCACCGAAGGCAGAACCATCAGGCAGGTCTTTATAAAAGGCATCATAATCCTGGGGTGAGCAAGAGAAAAGTGTGAGAATTCTTGGTTTTCACCAAATGAGGTCACCGACTCATGGCTGGGTACGAGGAGAAATAACCAAGAGATAGAATGACTTATATTTGTTTGGACATTCAGGGTTAAATATATGAATAGCATCCACTTTAGTGCTCAGATGCGTAAAAAATATGTTGCTTTCAAAGAAACAGGAGTGTAGATGACAGTTACTAATATTATTATAACTGGTGGCATGGATTCTGAAACCATAAGAAGCAAAGCAGCAAATTTATCTACCTGGTTTCTGTGCCTAAATGGCAACTTATGTATTTTCCTTGGAGCCTGCTTCCTGCATGCCTTGCCTGTTCCTCCATCCCTTTTCCTCTTTCCTCTGTGCTTCTCAGGTACCTACTCTTAATCCTCATTTTTCCCAAAAGATATCATCAACAGGTGCATATATTTGACTTTCTTACTAGATGGTACAACTTTAAGTGACCTTTGTGACTCAAGTGAATTTTAAATGATTTAGTTCAGAGTTCCATTACGATGTATTTTTATAACTTCCATTATCACCAACCTCTTGGTGAAACAATATATATTACCCTGCCAAAAAATACATAAAATGGATTAGAAACGAAACAAAAATCTTACTCAAGTGGGTTTGCTCTTCTGTAAGGCTTTTCCTTGATCTGATTTTATGATGTCATGGGAATGTGATGTGTTAATGACAAACCTGTTTTATCAAGGCATAAACTACATTTAAGCATTTTTGTTTAAACCTGCTCCTGTATTTACAATTGCAGCTGCCTGGTGACAAATTTGTGATAGTTAAGTATTAATGACCCACATGAATGTAACTTGAAACACAAGCAGAAGTTGAATAGCATGTTTTATGTGGATAGAAATGAAGTGGGTTGATGATTCACCAATGGAAGCATTGCATGAAAAACATTTTGATTTTCAGGATAGCCAGCTGGAGAGAGGTGCCATTTGGTTAACTGTAGTTTCATTTATATCTTCTCACCATTTAATAAATAGGTTTATTTTTCTCAGTTCTTTCACAAAGATTTAGGGGAAGCCTGGCTTTCTTGACTGCATGTGTGGCATTCTGTATTTTCAAATAGCTAGCATTTCACAATATGATACGTGGCCACTCCATTTTTCATATTTTTGAGAGTGAGAAAGTTGGCATAAAGGTTACATGAGTGGTTTCAATTAATTAGGAGTCCAACATTTTAAGAGTGGGCCTAGGCTCTTTAAAAAAAAATCCTTGACTAAGTGTAGAATATGAGATGACTCTACTGGTGCACTGTGGAAATCTGACCATGCATAAAGGGAAAAGTTTTCACTTTTCTGGCTTCTCTCTGTGGCAGTTTCAAAACAATTTGGCTGTTTACAGCCTTTAGTGATCACATTATTGTTCTCTGTCTACCATTTCCTTAGTTGATGAATTGTTAAATTACCCTTGTAAAGCATTTTCAGACTTGGTTCCTTCCATAAACAATTGCCCATTTCTCTCTTCTTCATCAGAACATTCTCCTTGCACCTCACCTGCTACCCTGAGGTGCAACAACCTTCAGGCCGAGCCTATCTTCTACTAAGGTGGTGTCCAGCCCAAATCAAGCCTTTTTGATAGATTCAGTTTAGTGATTGAACTAATTAGCTAACCGACTGAAGAAGAGGATGGCAAAAAGGAATGATGGTGGCTTTGTGCTAACAATGAATATTGAGCATGCATTAGGATGTGGAAGTGTCATAAAAGTGGTTAAGAAAGACATGGAGTTCACCAGGACTACCTGAACACCAGCCTGGTGACTGTGGTGCAACTTCTCAGAATAATATGGAGATTCCTTTTGCTTACTTAAAAAGTCATGGGAGAGAGATAGAGAAACCATCCCCATTTGTTGGCTCATTCCCCAGATGCCCATAATGGTGGTGACGGGGGGGTCTCATTCTCAGTTGTGGCCACATGGGTGGCACATACCCAACTCCTACAATCATCCCCGCTGCCTCCCAGGGGCTGGAATAGAAGGGAGCCAAGAATCAGGAGCCTGGGAATCCAATCCAGGCACTCCATGCAGGAAGTCTTCACCACAGCACCCCTGCAGAATTTTAGGATATATTTTGGAGTGTGAATAGAGTTACTTCAAAGAGCCTATGAATGTCCAAGTGGGCTTCCATATTTCTTTGCCTTTTGACTAGATGCACTCCCATGCATGTGCTACAGATGGGAGAACCACTTGATGGCCTTGTCATGGCATTCTGCGGCAGCTTGAGTTTTCATCCATTGGTGCTGAGGGCCAGTGCCTTAAATGCATGTTCTTTCCATCACCGCTGACCCCATTCTTGCCACTTGCCAGTGGCAGGGTGGAAGCTGTCCGTATGCAGCACAGCTTCACCAGGCCTCTTGACAACACCGTCCTATCACCTTGTCAGAGGCCTTCTGCTCAGAAATGACCTATGTTTTACCTCTAGCACAGACGGAAACCGAACAAAGCAGATGGCAACAACAACAAGAGCCAGGCCCAGAACCACTGGCACAGCATGAGTCGGAACAAGCTCCTAGGAAAGGAGGAGGGGCGAAAGGGCAGCCTGTGGCAGTCAGTATGCCTTCCAGGACCTCACCTCCCTCAGCTCAGCGGGGGAGGGATGGGTAATTAGAAGGAAAATCATCTGGGAGAGGGGAAAGTGGGTCATTCTATCTCTGGGTTCAATTCCCCATCCGAACCAGTTTTCCAGACCAAGTCCAGTGCCTCTCCAGGCCCTCCAGTGTAGGTCACGTTTCCGGAACTGATGTAAACCCTAACCTCCCAGCAAGGGCAGGGTGCAGGTGGCAGGAAACCTTCCTTTTGTCCTGCAAGCCAACCCCCCTCCCCCCCCACTTCAACCCCCCCCCCCCCCCCCCCGCCAACCCGGGGCACCTTGCCCCTCCTCCCCAGCTCACCAGATATGCAGACAGCTGAGAACTGCGAAGAGAATCCCCGCGGCAAAGGCCAGGGGGATTGCAAGGCACACGGTCAGGAACTTGTAGAACACGTATTTGCTGATTTCAAAGAGGGCATGGCTGCAGATCCATACTTTGTCAAAGGAGTGCGTAGTCACCGGCTCTGCAATCACATCCTCGAAGCCCAGCTGCGGAGACAGGGCACATGAACCTCCCCATCACCCACCTGCCGCCCTGGGGGACCCAGCGCAAACCCGGTGGAAGGCCAGGGCTGGGCGACCCCACCTGCTGCTAGGGTCATGGTAGGAGTGTGACTCGACTTTCCTGACTGCGCAGGAGGCAGCGCCAATGCTGGGTGGCGCGGAAGACTATGCTGGGCTCCATGAGGACTGACCTAGGAGCCTGAGCCAGGTACACCCTGGGGCCACCGGCATCCCGGGCCTTGGGGAGCCGTTCTCTGCCCACCGAAAGTCCAGGTTTCGGTCTCACCTTGAGATGCGAGTTGAGCCCGTGGGGATCGCGATCGCTGCCAGCGTCCGTGAACTTTTCAGGATCGGCGAAGTCGACGCCGCTGTGATGGCTGTAGGCGTCATCTTCCATGAAAAGCTGCACGTCTGCTTTCTCTGTTTCCAGCCCCATCGCGGCGCGGCGGCTGCAGAGCAGCTCCCGACCCGCGGCCTCCCCTTTCCCGCGGCACCCCGGCCCGGCCCAGCCCCGCCCTGCCGCTCCTCTCCCCGCGCAGCTGGGGCGCGGCCACTTCCCGCTTGCGGGCCTACCGAACCCCACCCGCTGCCCGCCGCTAGGGTGGAGGGGGCGGGGACCGGACGCCGCCGGCGAGGCGGTCCCTCCTGGCCCGACAGGCGCTAGCAGGGCCTGCCCGGCCCGGAGGGCAGGACGCCCGACTGCGACGCTCCCGGGACAGCACAGGTTGTCTAGAGTGAGACACAGTGGTGGCACAGCGACTCTGTGAGGAGGTTAAGCTTAGCCCTGTGTCTGGATCCTTAATGGCCGGCGTTGTGGGAAGGAAGCTGGACACCTGCTGCCCGGAGTTATCACGTGCAAATTAAATGTTAAAGCAGGCTTGAGGGCCAGGGGTGGCTGCAGCTGGCTGACATCCCACTGCACAGTAGACAGGCAGTAAGTGGTTTGGAGCTTCATGCATGCGTGAAATCCGTGTGAACCAGTTTGGAGAAATTACTTCTGCTGAAAGAAAAAGACTATTTTTGAAATGATACAAATTCCGAAAAAGAACTGGCATTGAGTGGAAAAAGTTGTTGGGAGCCAAGATCCAGCACTTGCAATTATTAAGTACCTCATGGGTCCGGGGTTTTGGAGCCCCTCATACCCCACCATGGTCCTGCTAGCCTGGACCCCTTTTTCTAACTTGACTTCCTCAGTTTTGTTTGCATTCAGGTAATTTCAAAGTGGTGAGTTGGACTTCTACATGCTTTTTTTTTTTCAAGCCACTTCCACATTCTCCGTTCACCCCAACAGGCTGAATCTCTGAGAACTGGAAAAACAACTGCTTGCTCAGCATGAATGGAAGACCGGTCCCTAAGGGAGTCCATGCTATCAGCCATCAGGAAATGAACAGAAGAGGTAGTTTACAGTCGAAGAGCATGTGGCAAAAATCAACTTTCCCCAAACTACAATCTTAGATATTAAGAGGTTTCATCCAAGAAATAAAGTCATGTGTGTAGTGCTAAAATGGGTATATGCAGTGGCTGAAAGCCTGGTGTAAGCACTTCTCTTACAATGCTTTCTTGTAAAAATGTTTAATTTGTGTTTATTTGAAAGAGGGAGAGAGAGATGAAAAAGAGAAAGAGCAAGAGAGCGAGTGTTCTTCCACCTATTGATTCATACTCCCCACTGCCAGGGCTGGGCCAGACTGAAGCCAAGAACACAGAACGCATTCTGGGTCTCCCAGGGGAGTGGCCGGGACCCAAGGACCCTGCCCTTCCAATAAACCAGAAGGCATTAGTGGGAAGCTGGAACTGGAAGGGGAGCTGAGGTTCAAACCCAGGTACTCTGACATGGAAGGCAGTTGTGCCCAGATGTTTGAACACTTATTCTTTCTCTTGCTGTTCTTTTACGTAAGTAATATTTCCAGTGGCGTTAAGACTTCTGCAATAGTTATCACAAGTAATAACTTTCCAGATAACAGTGCTAGACAGCTAAAAATGACAAACTCCATCCAAGTCTGGTTCATGGATTTCAGGGCCCCAAATACATGCAACGCCAGCTGTCCCTTCCAAGGAGCATAAGCAGAGAGCTGGGTCTCACATACGCTATCTGAGACTGGAAACTGCTGCCTGTATAGGATGCTGGTGTCACAGGGTATGTGATAACCAGCTCCATCACAGTGCTGGTCCCAGATTGGAAATGATTAATCCAGTTCTGCATTCAACTAAGGGATTTATATACTCCTTGAAGAGACTAAGTTCTGTGTACTTTGCCCAACCTCATATTCCTGCATCACAGAGGTGAAATGGTCGCATAAATGGTCATGTCTGGATGAGATCAATTTGGGATTTCTTAATCTGTTAGACTCCATCGGGTGGTGAGTTTCATGGGTTTATGACAGTCTTCAGATAATCAATAGCTTCTGCAAGTTTCAGATGACCTTAACTGAAAAGTCCATGGACTTGTTTGAACAAGTCCAGGTTGTTGTTCCTGACCCCCTTTAAACGTCTCCTTGGAGAATCTGGAATGGCTTACTGTTTCCAGGCCAAGCCACTCTCTAGGCATAGTGGGCTTCGCATCAACAATTCTTTGCGTAACTCCTTCTCCTTTATTCCTTCTTGATTGGTGCATCTCTTCATGGCTTCCTTGCTCAACCCTCAACTCCCAATGGTCCCTCCGCAAACAGTGTATCACACAGCCCACAAAGGTTTCAAGAAACAGATTAAAAGAAAAAAAAATCCATTATTAAAGTTACTTAATAATCTCCCTTTTGGAGTGATGCCAGGTAGTTGCATAGTATTTAGTAGAAGTTTCTTCACTTTTTTTTCTTAGCATTTGTCTTTTTATTTCCACATTTCTGTACAAAATGTAAGCATTGCATCAGTGAACCAGGCACTTCTTGTTAACTATTAAGCCATAGTAGTATGTTTGTAATTAGTGTCAGCTTAATCTTCTTCGGGTTGTTTCAAATAACACTTCCTCTGGCTAAAAATCTCTCTTTCTACTCCAGAATCCCAGAATGAACTTGTGTTTGGAAATGCTTGATTATTAGAAGTAAAGAGAAAGAAGATACTCTCTGAGTCCTCCACTCAGGGAAAGGACTGAGAAGTTTTTATAGGTCATTCCATTCTCCTTCACAACAATGCATGACCATTAATTTGAGATTTATTTTACCCTGTTTTCCGTAGGAAAGGATGTTCCTGTTTAATATTCTGAGTATCATATTGGCTTACAGAACACTGTATATGTAACTAAGAGATCTCCACCAGACTTTGGTATTTTATCTTTCTGAAACATTAAATAGGTGCTTATCAACTTTTTGTGAATGCCAACTTCCAAGGTAAACTCTTCATTACAGCTGTAAACTTAGATGGGCATATTACTTCAGCAAAACCGCAAGGTTCAAGGTTTTCTAAATCCTGAGACGTGTCCAAGATTATCGTGCAAGCAACAAATCTCAAGGTTGTTTATTCAATTTAGGATTTGCTTCTGGACAAAAAGAAATCGTTATGGCTCAGTTGGAAGGCTTTGTTTTCTCCAGGCAGTTTTCTTTTTACAAATATGCTACTTTCACTTGGAGCTAATGCCAATTTTTAAAAATAACATAACTAATCTGCATGAGCCACGAGAGAAAAAAAATGGCAATTTTTTTTTTCCCCACAAGTTTTAGCTTCATGTGTATTTCCAGGAGAGAAATAATGATGAAAGGACCGAATGGTTTCCACCTGTTCCTGGTTCCATTACTCTTTTGGTGCCTATCGGGTGGCCTTTCCTGTTTGAGAAAATCTATGCTTGACAAGGGCAAAACAGATTTTTACATGTGAAGACTTAATTAGCCCATATAGGTGTCTCCTTCTGCATTCTGGGCCATGGTAGCCTTCCCTGCTCACCAGGTGTTAAAGAGATGGCTATAGTAAATACATTATGAATGGTACTGTTCATATTATATCTGAATGAGGTAACCATTTTCTAGTTAAACAATTAGTAAATGAATAAATGTCTTATTTCAAAAGCAATTTTGTTGATATTTTTATTTTGTTAAAAAGGAAGTAGAATGGAGAACTTTGGCAAACCTAGAATACTCTCATTATGCTGATCTAGAAAGAAATTAGTTTTTTCATAGACATGTGTACTTCTGGTTGTATTTATATCAGATCTCCCACTTGGGAAATGATAATTATTTATCAAATAGAGAAATGTTTTCCTTATCATGATAGTAAGTATAAACCTGTGCTTGTCATTTATTAGTTAAATTCATTCACATTAAGATTTATTTGCAAAGGCAGATATTCAGAGAGAAGGACATACAGAGAGAAAGGTCATCTGTCCATTGATTCACTTCCCAAGTGGCCGTGGTGGTCGGTGCTGAGCTGATCTGATGCCAGGAACCAGGAACTTCTTCTGGGTCTCACATGCGTGCAGAGTCCCAAGGTTTTGGGCCATCCTTGACTGCTTTCCCAGGCCACAAGTAGGGAGCTGGATGGAAATTACGGCAGCTGGGACACGAACTGGTGCCCATTTGGCCACTAGTCTACCATGCCAGGCCTTTTTTTTTTTTTTTGTCCTTTTAAAAATTATGATAGTCATTGGAAACTGTTTGATAAACAGCTTGCTGAAAGTGAACTTAGATAGTAAAACACTGTGGTCCCTGAAAAATTGCACACTGCTTTATTTGGAAATAGTAAAGTTTGCAGAATGTAGCTGTAAAGGGCATGCTACTCAAATTACTTGGTTCTGAAAACTTTTACTATGAAATGAAGTATTTTCTGAAGGAGTAGGACACAAATAGCTACATATTTGGGGCAAAAAATAGAGCTATTATTTTATCAAATGAAAGAACCTTTCCAGTATCACCATTTCTGAAATGCAAGTCTTTTTCTTTAAACAAATAGCATAATAGACATAATAAGGGGTAGCATATGAGAGATGGACTCAGATTAGCAGACTAGGAATTAGCAGAACCCTGTGCTGGTTTCAGACATGTTCTTAACATGTGTGGGTCATTGGCAGATGTATGCTCATGAGAAAGTGCAGGTCCAGCCTAATCAACCTTGCTACAATGTCCCTTTAGGGAGTGGGAAGTGTATCTTACACTACTTGCCTCCTTGGAGGAGACAGTATCAAAAAATGTCAGAGGAGGAGATATCTTGTTTTGACAAACTGTCTCTGAATATATTTCAATATGAACCCATAGATTATTTTTCTGAAATGTTGACGCATCCTTTCTTCGAAATGTTCATTTTTATGTCACTGCCTTCTCTGTTTCTCTTGTCTTATTCTCTTCAATATGATCTCTCACTTGACTTTTATCTTCCCCATACATATGTAATTCCTTTTAACTTGACTACACAAAATTAAAAAAAAAAATTTTTTTTTGAGAAACACACACACACACACACACACAGATGAATGCTACCACTGTCCACTGGTTCAGTCTCTAAAGGACCACAGGGCTGGTGCCAAGTGCCAAGCTGAGGCTGG